CTTTTGACAGCTGTAATTTGGCACCAGCTGGTGCAGTAATTGACTCCAGTTTAAATATCAATGAGGAAGATTCTGGGCACTCTGTATGGCTAAAATTTTTAGAAAATTGGCATCAATTCCAGAAAACTCTCAATAATATGGGCTATTTACATAATCTCAATCTCAGAAAACAGAGGCAGCAGATTGATCTTGAATAATAAAAACCAACATTGCACCTTTCACTTCCTAAGTCACCAATGCCTGCCTTCCTTTGTAACTTCTCCTTTCATTCCTGATGGAGAGGGAAGGGGAAGAAAGCAATGTACACAGCAGTATTATTGTCTAAATTTGCATTATCACAGGACATATCATCACATTGTGTTAATGAAGCAGTTTCTACAATACTATCAAATACTGTCCTTACTTTGTCTTCCAATGAAATCATAGAAAGTGAGGTTAGATCACTAGAAAATATTACAAATTATTGAGAATGAAACTAATGTCTTTAGCTAGGAAATGAATGGTGAAATATTTTGCTTCTTTTCATATAAGAAGCAAAAGACCTGGGTTAGCACCAAGGACAACTAAAATAAACCCCACAGTTACTTTCTAATTTGGAATATTCTTATCATGAGAACCTGATTGTGTTCATACAGACACTATAAACTAGCCTGACTCCTTTCAATTAAATTTTGTATTGTGGCTCCTTTTAATCTATCTTGATGAGGTTAGACTCTCACAATTCTTAAAAGAAGCATCAATAAATTCTATTATTCTTGGGGAAAATGTTGCAAACTTATGCATGTAGTCCCATCAGACAGAGAAACTAAGAATATCAAAGCTATAAAATCAATTTGGTGGCATATCAAATTTACTTATTATTCATTAAAATAGAATGCCATCCCAATTATTCCTCATAAAATTTAATTCTTTCTTATACAAGGTACATATCAACTTGTAATGTGTTTTCTTTATACATATAACCAAAATAAATATGTTTTCACATTGCACCTATTCACAATTCTTTGTATTACAATTAATAAGAATGATGCACCTCCATGAAATGAATAAGGATAGATGCAATAAATACATGATTCCAGTACCTATTAATTTTACTTATATAAACACAGTATTCTAAATGTCACAATTTTAAAGCAACATTTCAAAATATGATTTGGAAAAGTAATTTTTTTTAATTATAAACTTAAAATTATATTGAATAACTAAATTAGCCTGATTGACACTGAATAACATTCAATTTCTCTAGAAAAATTTGCACCTTCTAATTTAGTTTCTCTGCAAAGCTAAAGACAGCAGCCTCCTCAAAGGTTTTATTGACTGCGCAATTTGAAGATGTCTATACTCCGCCTGCATAGTAACAAGCTGGCACTAATAAGCCATACATAAGATACCAGTTATTAAAATACAAATTAGGCACCTTTTATGTTTATACATGTGTAAGTAAAATTAATATTGCAGGCTTAGTTGGAAATAAAATTGCTTTAGTTAACCAACCATTGCAATGCAATCAAATGAGATTTCAAATGCAACTGGAAAAGATCTGTTTGGTAGAAATAATAGTGATGATTTCATGTAGAACAATTAATTTACCAAGCTCTTTTTTCTCCCACCTGCCCTTAATAAAATAAATTTTCCATCATAATTGACATGAAATGTCACCTTTAATACCCATAAGTTGCATGGAGACCTGAAAGACAGCTGGTAGACATAGCTTATTTACAAATATTGGTCTGAACTTGTAAATGCATGACCACATAAATCTTAATCCATTTAGAGTGTATGCCTTTTGTTCCCTAGATTGTATATTCAGCTGGGAATTAAATGGAGCTGAGGGAGAGTCTGAATTACATGAGGCCTTTGTTGTTGCCAGCATATTAGTGCTTTGCCTTTTGTTCTTGTTGTTTATGAGATCTCTCTACATTACACAGAAGGGAATGTTAATCAACATTTTGCCTAAGTAATATTAATGAAACTTGCTCACTTGTACTTGAAGGAAGAAACAGAATATTATATTCCTTTTTGAAATGTTAATGTATCTTTTAGGAAATTATTTCTGCCTTCTAAATCATCTTAGTGTTAAATTATTAAAGGCTGGCATTAAGGAACTATTGCACTGGTGCAAATAGTTAAATACCTTAAAAGATAAAAAGATTATAAAGTTTAAATGGAGGGCCTTTTAGAAGACAGTAGCATTTAACTTCAAATTAAACATTTTTAAATGTTTGATTAAAATACTGCCAATTTGCAGGTGTTTTGTATACAATAAGAAGAGACTTAATGCAAATGATTTTTAATTTCCATCCACCAATTTGGACTGTGTTCTGGCCTTGAAGGATTTATTTAACTTTGCTACATCTAAAAACTACAGCACCATCTACTTGATAAGAAAAAAAAATGGGAAAAGTTTTCAGGCTTTTGTACTTGTTACATATTTGTGTCTTAAGATTAGGCAATTAAAAATTGCCTATTTGTGTTCTATTCTTCAAGAATTAAACTGTCACTATTCATGTTCTAAGACTCTATATGAAAGTTAGAGCTACTGAAGAGACTTTATATAAGGTGACATGGTAGGAAATGGAAAACATCAATTCTCAACGTGCAAACTATAACAGATATGTGTCCTGTAAAAAAACATTCATAGTTGTCCAAGAAGGTATGCAGGGAAAAGAAATGACAGATCTCTAAAATGGACTAACTTCTTTTCTCCTTTAACAGCCTTTTTGATGTCAATCTATTTCTTCATAGGTCCAAATAAACTGTAAAGTAACCCAGAGGGAAATTAAGAACAAAATTTGTTCAAGAATTCTCCCACAGGGCAAGCACTATTTCTTAAGAAAATCTAACACTAGAGTAAACCATTTGTTTTCTATTTAACCATGTAAGATTTACTAATGGCTTTTGGGTCATTGTAGGTACAATTTGTCATCTTGCATGACCTCACAGCAGTGCTGCTAGTTTGACACAGGCACTAAGAGAATATATGATAGGGATTAAATTTCAAGGTAAATTTATTTCATATTTTGGCATTTCACAAATAAGAATACAGCTTAAAATTTTTGGTGTATCATAATTAAAATGTCTTCTTTTTCTTGAAATAACTAAAATAGTAGAGTGCCTTACAATTGACAATGGCCTGAATTCAATAAAATATGTAATATATAGCATGCATTGAGGATAGCATTGTAGGTAATGGTCACTATTACTTCTGTAAGGAGAAAAAAGTTATTGCCAAAATGATGAATTTGTGTTAATGAGCCCAATATTAAAGAGTTTACAATGTATCTGGGCAGAATCCATCTAGTTTTACATCTATCAAACTTCATAATGCTTTTACAGTGCCCCTCTGTTGGGAATAGGAAGTAAAAATAACATCAATTAATATTAATCAAAAGAATATTTACTAGGATAGATTATTTTTTCCTTATGTCTATTTGAGAAACACAATTTCAAGTTTCTTTTTCTTATATTTCAAAGTAACCTACTACAATGTAAACCCTAAAATTAGATGAGCTAAAATTGTCCTCAATATTCAAAGACCTTATTTTTTTGACTTTGACACCAAATTTTTGTTCTTTACATATGAGTGACAAATTGATCTTTATTGTCCTCACTAGGATAAATAATAGTGGAAAAGCTAGTTCTTACATGACACTAACAACATGAACAATATGATCAAGTTACTGAGAGTCAACTCACTAGGATAAACAATAGTGGAAAAGCTAGTTCTTACATGACACTAACAACATGGACAATATGATCAAGTTACTGAGAGTCAACTCACTAAGATAAACAATAGTGGAAAAGCTAGTTCTTACATAACACTAACAACATGGACAATGTGATCAAGTTACTGAGAGTCAAAAAATTTGACAGCAGCCAAGTAACATCAAGCAGCGTAGTAAATTGATTAGGAAATATAAATTACTGAAAAGGTAGTAAAATATGAATACTATCAGAAAAGATTTTTTTTTTAAATCAAGCATCGAAGATTAGCTAACTATTACAAGGGAATGAAATACTCAGTGCATTTTCCTTTGATAGACAAGAAAAAAACACAAAGTAAAATGTTAGTTCCTAAACTCCTTGTGTTCTATTAACATGCAATTTTAACTTTAAATTTGACACTTTTGTTTTACACAATGGAACTATCACTCACATTCTAATCTTATTTTAAAGAGGAAGTGGAGTTTGGGAGAGGTTAAATTAAAAAAATCAATTGTCTGGAATGTTTCAATGATGAGAAACTGAAGACATTTTGGAAATAATTAAAATATATAACAAAAATTTTTGAGCTGACAATTAAAGAGAAACTTCTGCCCTGTGCCCTGTGGCTGTTAAGAAGGCAAACAGATGACAGAAAAACCTCATCACAAGGAGAATTTCTGCTTTTTTAACCATTAAACCATTACCCCTTGGAACACACAGCAAGTTTATTTAAGAAAAAGAAAAGAAAGAAATAGAAGAAAAGAAAAAGTGGTAAAACAAATGCCAGCTGGCATGTCTAAAAGTAGGCCAGAATAGAAGGAGAAATACTTCTGGCCAAAATGAAGCAAATTAAAATCTAAGAGATTTAATATAGTCATTCTCCCCTTTGATCACACTGCCAACCATCAAGGTGATCATGAGACACACACTCCTCTTTCGAATTCAAAGTCATAGAATGCAAATTGTTTTTCAACTGGTATATTCATAATATCTACAAAGATTACTCAGATATTATAATTTAGTGCTATTTCAAAGCATTTTATAAATATCTAAGTATAGAAAAAACATTTGAAAGAACTTTCATTTTTTAATGTAGAGCATAAGCCAGAACATTTAAACTAACTCAATTAGTCCTGATTACCCAAAGTAAGGCTGTTCTTTCCCTCCCTTTTTTTTTTAAGTCCCACACATAACATCATAAGATTCCATCACTAAAACATTATTTTAATGTGATCATAATTATTCAAACACAAAAGTCAATCTATTTAAATTGAGGGGTTAAAAAGGGTCCTTACTGCAAAATCTTCCCTCCACTGATGGGCTGCTTGAACTTTCTCTGCTTCCAAAGCCAGGCGCTGAAAAAGAAACAGTAAATCTTAGAATTTAAGTGACCACATGAACATGTAATTATTACATAAAGTGCTTAGGTTGTCTAATCAATTACGAGGACATAATAGCAGAGGAGACTCTTTGTTTGTGATTCATAAATTCTAAATCATTTAGCAATCTAACCTATTAAAGTTGATATATTTACTATTTAGTGATAAATAACAAACTATTCCTAAATGCCATCCAGTTTACTATATCTGCTGTCATCAGCAGTAGTGTCCTCTACAAGTGCTTTTTTTTTTCATTGACTTACCATCTCCATTTGCTAAAAACTATCAAGATAGGATATTAATTTTGCTAGAAAATTGTTGACACTTCAAGCCTCTAATTAAGTTCTGTTCCAGTCAAGTGACATTTTTATTTTTATTTTTTTAAGTGACATTTTTAAAGTCAATGAGCTACTATTAAGGACCATAGATAAACTATACTAAGACTAATAAAATTCATATCTAATAAAATGTTAATTGCTTGGTACAGCATGCTGTTTTCATACTAGGCTATAAAAGTATATCCTGTAACAATAAAGTATGCTGCAGGAAATGTTTCTTTCACTTAACTGTAGCACAGTACAACAGAGTATCAAACATGAAAACCAGACTGAACACTGGACAGAAACAAAAAACCTGGCTCACTCAGCATGGATCACAGAGAGTGAAAGCTTAATTCTGCTTATATCATGAGAAATCAGAGGTTCATTAGCTTTACTGTAAATGAGATCATACATGTTTACATGAAGTTCCTTTAGGTATAGATGATAAATATATGTATAATTGTAATAGATAACACATGCAAACCAATTATTTTGAACATTTAAATTTTTAAAAAATCATTTAAATATGTTAAAAATTTAATTTTATGAAAACTAAATAAATCTTAAGGATTCTGACTTCAAAGTTTGTGCTCATTCCACAAAACTACTCTTCGGTTTCTCACCCAGTCCATCAAAAGTGGCATCAGCAGACATTCAATGTACATATCAAGACATAGTAGTAGTATCAAAACCAGAACACTGGAAGAGATCCATGATTATTTAGAAATTGATAAATAGGAAAATAAAAATAAGCACCAAAAAATATTGTGCAGTGTGTTAGTCTGGAAAGTGTTTTTAGAAAGGTCTTGTTCTGGTATCCTTAGAGACTATTGCTTATCGGTTTAAAAAAAAAAAAAAAAAGCTTTTAATATGCAGTGGTCTGCAGAAGAAAAAAAACACAAGGAAAGCAAGCTTATCAGATGAGAGAAAGATCAACTCCCTTGAAGGCTTTGCTTTCTCAACCTTCACTTTGTCTCACATGATCATCTTTTCTACCAGCATTGAATCCTGTCAGGTGACATGAAAGTCTACTAAAAAGTATAATTATAAAGTATATAAAGATTCAATTCTATCATTCTAATTCAATGACACCAAATATTTTTTTTCTTAGAAATTGACTATTTAAACAAAAATTTCTGAGGAAATAATTTGCCTCCTACTTTGTAGATTAATTATTATTTAAAGGATGTTTTTAAACTTTATGAAATATTTCATTAAGAGGAATTTTCCTTTGATAGATTTGAAAGAAAACTATCAGGAATCATGATAGTTCCCTGAGACTCAAATAATGTTGAGACTCATATTTAAATATCAAATATTTACTTATAGACATAATTTAAACATTCCAAAACAATTTCTTGGGCTACCCTATATCAAGAATTTTATTTTTTAATAAAGGGGTAGTAAATATGAACAGACTAATCCAAGTAAAATATGCATGTGTTATTTGATTAATGTTCAAACAGTTAACACCCAATAAGGATTAGCAAATTACTATATTATTCCTATGTTGACAATCTAATTATCATCCTAATGAGTTTTAGCTATCTTCATCAAAAGGTTATTAACATATCAAAAGGATCATGATATTCATTTAAAAGGCCTAACAATACCTATTGAAAGTAGCAGACTTAGGTGAATGAACAGACTTTTATGTGTTCTGAAGAAAAGTGCATAGGTACCATAATTAATGTGGAGCTATGGTATAATGAACAGGAACTTCTCATCACATAGAAATGATATCCAATCCTGATGTTGCCTTTCACTAACAATGGAATTTTAGGCAAAGATTTTAACTGTGATCAGCTGCTAGAAAATTTATCACCTTTATATATTTTCTATTTGATATTCTAAAAATATGGTATATTATCAAATCCATGAAGTTCTGCTTCCATTTGAATTGCATAAATGTGACTCCATAGAATGTCACTATAGTCACTGATAACCACCTCAACATGTAAATAATACCACTGAAATGAATGAAGACTCTTAGTAGTCCCTAAATTCTACTGTATTTCACCCTCCAGAAAAGTTCCTATCTATAGAACCATATGGAGGTAAAACATGCAGCTCTGGGGAATAGTTTAACATGGCAGTCAATGTGCATTCAATTTTATTTCATTCTATTTTTACCATAAATGACATAAAAGGAGATAGATCTTTGTGCTCTGCTTTCTGGCCTCACTTCCTAAAGGGAATAGAGAAGGAGATAGTGAGGTGTGACATTTCTTCATTCTTTCTTATGCTGACAAGGAGTTCTTGAAGACCTGAATAGACAGGGCATTACAGACCTCTATGAATATTTAGTGTCATATTTCATCTCAAAGGAGATGCTCTTCTCTTTCCAATAACCTTAAAGAATTCAGTTCATTTAAATTCATACAAATATATAGGTCCGGAATTCTTCTTAAGCCTTCTAGCCATTTATGTATCCTAATGAACAAGGATTTTACTATGTAAAATTAGTGTAGAACAATAGTTCTATTTTTAATCCTATCTGTTTAGTTCATTTTGCTTTAAATATTTCTATAAAGAAATATTACTGGAACCTTGAAAAAGCTCAGTTGGATTAAAAAATGCCAGTTTGGAGATTGGAACTTGAAGTTAAAAAGTTACAAAATGTAAAACTACCCAGGATGACTTAACTTCAGCACATTCCAACATTTAATGATTGTAATAACTAGAGAAATAAATAAATACACATTCCATGTTGGAGGAAAAATATCTTAAGAAACAGTGTGGCCAGGTGAGGTGGTAGGAGACTGTAGTCCCAGCTACTCTCAAGGACAGGGTGAGGAGATCATAAGTTTGAGGCCAGCCTGGGCAATACAACCTGACCCTGTCTCAACAATAAAAAAATAGAGTAGGTATGTACTTGTGTTCTATAAACCTTTACTAAGGGTGTGTTGTATGAAACTGCATAAAGAATAAAATACAGAACCACAGTTCCTGCTTCTAAAGCAAATGAAATCATCTACTATTTCTTCTTCTCTCTTGCTCACTCTCACCATCACACATGCACACACCCCTTGTGTTATTTGATAGATGCTGTCTGAATGGGTACAACACACATGATTGGTTAGTTTGACTTTATTTCAGTGGCTGTTCTACATGGAGAATAAAATGTTTAAAGCACTGCCTTTTATCCAGACTGTAAATATGAAGTATTGCTAGCCAAAGATAAGATTTAGTCACAGGTCATTTTTGAAGGGGGTTACTGAAAATACTGAAAAGCATAGAAACCAACTGTCTGAAAACTGCCATCCAAAAATCACTTTTATCATTCTTTATAGTTGATGGATAATTTCTTGTGAAAAATAAATATTTTTTAAATATTTGAAATAATTATTTATAATATTATTTATTCATTATTATTTATAATAATATTTATAATATTATTAAATATTAATAATATTTCAAATCACTTTGAAGTTCCCGTTTGTCACCTCCTTGAATAATTCCCTAGCCCCCAGGAATCATTGGTATCAATTATGTGGCACTGTTTGGAATGTTGTTGTTGTTTTTTTTAAATAGGTAAATGTTATCACATATTGATATTGTGGATTCTTCTTCCTAGTAGGCTACAAAGAGGTTGAATGACAAAAAGAAGTTCCACTAGCTTCTTGAGGGGAATGAGTTTTCTAAGGAGAACCCATCACCCTTTCAAGTGACAGTTTAGATTAAATAAGAGAATCATTTTAGATCAATGATGTATAAGAAGGTTTTCTGAGGGATTTGGAAAGAAAAATAATGTCTGGAGGAGGGCAGTGCCCCTCAGGGAAACTACACTGAAGCCATCTCCAGATCCTTTTCAGCACCCAAATTCTGTCTCTATAGCATCTTTTTCATCAGAACACAGAACAGGCCTCATTTGTAAACACAGGCCTGTCTATTCTCTCAAGAGACCAGCATGCTTTCCACTCAGACATTACTCATGCTGTCTAAATTATCCTAAATCATCATGTCAGCAACGTTTAACAAGATGTGGCACTGCCCTCTTTCTCTGGCACTGGAGGTTAGCAGTGCACCTCAAACAATGATGACCAAAGCTGCTGTGTTACTCATGTTTGCCCAAACTATGCTTTTGCAGACCTTCTGATTTGTTTAATGGCATGAAATACAAGTACATAATCATGATCATCATTTTTGCAAGTTCCCAATTTTATTCTTGGCAGGACGATCCCATATTGATTTCAAGTTATAAAAAGTATTTCAATATAATCCAATTTTAATTTAGAAATAATATATTCAAATATTGAGTGCTTCTTCTGAAACCTGATAAAATAGTATAGCACCTGCCCAACTACTGGTTTACAGTGGAGAAATTTTATTTTAAAAAGAGAGTTTTTCATCTTAATTACTGCTTCTCAAAAGAAGAACAGGCTGTTAATATACACTCTGGTTAAAGTAACCTGTAAATAGGTTGAGGAAATAGAAATAAAGCACTGTATGCAGTCTATTTAGTGGTGTCAGATTAAATGTCTTAATGCTTCTATAAATACCACAATCATTAAATGAGAGAATTATTAACATTTACAAAAAAGCATTAATTTGGGATTATACAAAGCCAAACCATAAATCCATCTTACACTGAATGAGGTACAATGCAAAGTTATAGGTTATTTTTTATAGCCTATCATTTTCTTATAACTGATT